CCGGCGGTTGTCGACCGAGGTGCTTGTACAAGCGTCGCACGTGTTGTTGAGCCGCGTGATGAGGAGGGCGGATCGTGTCACGCACATGCCTGTGATGTCATTCTTCTGGATTGGTAAAGTGAGGTAGGTCCGGTCACGCAGAGATGTCTGTTGAGTCCAGAGGTGATGCGCCAGGACGGAGGCCCCGGAGTAGGCTATCGGAAGAGTCGGATGGGAATTAGTCCGCTGTCAAAAGCTCAAGCTGGAATGAGTCTTTGAAAGGTGTGGGTCCCTGATGGACCGGCTCACATCGGTGATGGCCTGCTCAACGCCTGCTGCTGGCTCGTCTCCGTTGAGTTTCCGGTGTTCCTGTCTTGCTTGTGTGTAGTAGTTCTGGAATGAGCGGTAGCCGCCCGCCTTGAAGGACGCGCCGATTGCTTTGACTAAGGTCACGGTGAGTGGTACTGGGGCCAAGTCCCACGAGGTCGCAATCTGGCGCCAAGTCTTCCAGCGGGCAGAGCGTGGGTTCGGCTGGATGGCGCGTAAGTTTCAGTTTCGAGCAGCTGCAGCGCATTGGCTCGTGATGTGGGTGCTCCAGCCGCAAGGGCCCGATGTAGGGATCCATGTCGTGTGGTTCGGTAAGGTTGTACGTCGTGTCGGGCCGGTGGCATGCATGCCAAGGCTGGTTGTTCGTCGCGTAGCATGCGGTTGACCAGGTCGTTGGGGATCCCGAGTTGCAGTAGCGCGGTCCGATCCATGTGGATGAGAACATTGAGATCCTCGATGCCCGCCAGGGCCACACAAGGTGCAACGGCCAGAAGTGACCGGGTCTGTAACCAGGTTCGGATGTTTATGAATGTCATGCGTAAAGCGCCAAAACCTCTCACAAATTGAATTGCAATCCTATTCGAGCAAGGTGTCAAGAAATGAGACACAAGTGTTTGCAAGGGGGGATGCAATAAACAGGCAAGGTGCAATGCAGAGCAGGCCCTTTTAGCTTGACTCACCTGTCAGGCACCGAAAATGCACTGCGGGCATGGTAATCCGTGTCAGCATGTTGCTGAGTGTACAGTCGGGTCACGCGATACGCGGTCCCAACAGTGCTCAGTGGATGGGCGCCTGTGGTTCGCGGTCGTCACAGGCTCCGGTCGAGCCGGTCGGCTCCTTCGCGATCTTGGCGGGTCCAGAGCTCAAGTCTGCAGAAGCAGAGGCCCAGGACGCGCGCCAGGTCTGCGGTTTCAAGAACTCTGGTGGTGCCCGGTGTGCGCATGTCGTAGAAGGGAGTCTCCGGCATGTTCCGCTGGCGCTTGGCGCTCGGCAGCAGGTCGACACTCAGGGGAGTCAGCCGGCCGATGTTGCCACGCTGATGGTGTCGAGCTTCTCCTGCGTCCAGAAGGTGCGGGTCATGTACGGGAGCTTCTGGGCCGTCTGCATGTTGGTCATGATCATCTTGGCCAGGTGTGCGTGAGGGGCTTGCGATGAACAAAGCTCGCGGCGATCTCTGCAACGTGTACCTTCATCTGTTGCTGGCGGTGATGTCCTCCTCCCAGCGAAGTAGGTACATCAGGCACTGCCGATTGTCGTCTCCTGTGATTGCCTCGGCAGCTGCTCGGTTTCGCGGGGACCGGATGTCGCCCGCACAATGAGGCACTTCTGTGCTGGGATGTTGGGCTGCCCGGAGGAGATCAGTGTTTCGGCTCGGTTGGATGCCGCGGTACTGGCGTAGGTCTTCCAAGGGTACTGGCGCAGGCAGTCGGGGCAGAAGAAGTGCCCATGATGCTTGGTGTCGCCAGTGGCTCGTAGCCAGTGCGACGAGTGAACGACAGCTTTGCACGTCTGTCGTCTGCACATGAAATGTTCGTCAACGGAGGGCAGCACGCGGGTGACGAAGTCGCTCAGGCGCAAGGGGTAGTCTGGGGAGTCCAAGAAGTTGAGGAGACGTCCGGCTCGCTCGGAGCGCCGCAGTGAGGTGCTGTTGCTCCCGTCGCTGGAACATGCGGAAGAGCTCCTTGCGCTCGTCGGATGGGAGGTGGATGAGGTCGAGGCACATGGTCCCGGCCAAGAACTTGGAGCGGTTGTGGAGGATCCGCCTGATCTGGGTGTTGGATTCGCTGTGGCGCGATGTCCTGGTCCTTAATCATTCTTAATGGCCACGAGGTCCGGGTGCTCCGCGATGGTGCTGTACGGGGGGGTGTGGCGCACCCGTAGCACGCTCTGTACCACTTCTTGCGCCAGTCGGTCTCTTCAAAGAAGCACAATGGCATGATGTATTGTGTCTGGTATTGGTGCTGGCAGAGGGTGGATGGTGAGGGGTTGCTGGCCAGGTAGTCAAGCAGAAGGTACTTAACTTGGGACTGCTGCTCTCCCTCCATGAAGCCGTTCATAACTTCCCTGTGCTCGAGGCGAGGGTTCTGGTCCTGGAAGGTCTTGAACTGCGAGATGATGCCCGTGTTATAGGGCTGGAGCAGGATTCGGAACAGCTCATCTGCCTCCAGGATGGCCATGGTGTAAAAGGCAATGGTGGTCAGGGACGAAATGGGTAAGACTGAAAATTCTTCAGAATTGGAGGTGGCTCTTGCCGGACCCACGCAGGAGTCCGCAGTGCGCCGGGTTGGGAAATCTCATGTTGGTGGGTCGGGAGGGGATGCGTGGGGGAAGCCACTCGAGGTGGTCGAGTCATCACTCATGTTGGGGCGATGTACGACGTGCCACACCGGCACAAACGTCGTGTTCACACCGGCACAAATGTCATCCCGAGGGGTGGTGAGCTGTCTCGAAGGACCAACTCACAAGCGGTGACGGAAAAAGACCGTGCCGCGTACGACTTTGTCAGGAGGGATCGTGGATGGGCGGCATGCTTGCGTCAGTGCAAGGTACAAAGAAACTGGTGGGAAGATGATCCCATCGGGGTCCAGGGCTACGCCGTCGATGAGGGCCATGGTCCGCTGTTTGGCGGACAGAAAGTTGGAGATGGTCTCGACGGTGGTGTCGCCAAAGGTGCGGGACATGGAATCGATGAATGGGTCGTTCCGGCTTGCTCTGCAGAGCTGGCGTCCGAACGTCAGAAGCATGTGAGTTGGGGCAGAAGGTTCTGTTTGCCTGTCAGTTGCTGTTGGATGTGCTGCAGCAGGACCCAGCGGAGCAAGGCACGGAGCGGTGTCTGGCTGGTGTCCGCCTTGACCGGGACGATGAAGAGGCACGTTGGTCGGGGTGGTCAGGCGCCATTGGAAGTTGTTGTGGGTAAGGAATTGGCTGAACTCTGGGAAGGGCGCAGACGAGACCCGGAAGGTGGCAGCGGGTTGGACGAGGGCACATCAATGTGGGTTGCGGACCGCTCCTGCAGCAGGTTGACGGTGTGGTTGTCTGCCTCGATGGTCTGTGGCAGCCACTGGACCAGTTCGTGGTTGGCTGCTGCGCGTGTCGTGGTCCGAGGTGTCCGTGCGTGGATCGTGGCTGTCTTGTTGGGGTCGTGTGTCGTTGCTGGGCCGTGGCCGGCGGCCAGTAGCTGGGTGTTGCGGGACGATGCTGCCTGAGATTCCGTGGGCGGCAAGACTGGCCGTGCGTAACCCGATTGCATGGAGCGATCCTCGTGGCACGAGGTGTGTGGTGACTGGACGCCCAAGTGACAGGGGGTCCGGTTGGTTGGAAGTACGGTCGTTGGTATGCGCATGGCAGTGGCGCGGTGCGTTGGCATTCCACTCGCCGTGCTGGTGTTCGCGCAGGATGTCGTAGGCGTCCTGCCAGGCGACGAAGCGCCACTCATGGTGGTAGAGTCGTAGTGGATGCCGGTGAGTTTTGAGTGGTGAACGAACCGGAGCCAGGCCAGAAGCTCGCCGTGCATCGTGGAATCGCTACGCACGTGCAGGCAGGTGTCACCTCGGTCGCAAAAGGCACCGATGCGCCGGCCTTGTTGACGGAGGTGACGGTAGCAAATGCTCTCGGGGGGGCCAACGCCCCGGTACGAACTCCGGGCACAAGAAGCCGCACATGAACTCGGCGGTTGGTGAGCGGCCCCGGCAGCTGGAGTGACGCACAAAGTGCGTACAGACCTGGTTGCCCTGGAGGATAGTGCCCACGCCGACGGCTTCAGGCAATGCAGCGGTGTGCTTGGAGGGCTTGGTCGGCATTTTGCCGCAGTCTTCTGGATATCTCCAATAGTCTTCCGAAAATCTTGGAAGAACACGGGTCTCGGCACGGAAAGTTATGACATGACCGCGATACGACCACACGGTGCTTGTGAATCCGAAAAAGAATCGGGACTTAAGCCTGGAAGGGAACAGTGCAAGAAAGATTAGGGGAAGAGGCGGGAACACCAGGGAGCCAAATGTGTTTTTTTGGGCTCGGGGGACTCGCGGGAGACCACGGGAAGACAAGGAAACTTGTGCTATGCAACTGGCGAAGAAAGCTTTGTGTGTGCGTTGGAATGGCTTAGTCGAAACCAGGCTGGCGGTATAGCCTTGTAGGGCTTTGGCCTGGCTAACATTCCGAGCATTGCTTGCAACTGGCAAAGAGGAGGGTACGTGCGTTACATCTCCGAAAAGAAACAACAAATATGTTCCTTCCGTCTTCGAAAGCCGGACTAATGGGATGGCTTTGTCCGGGGCTCTTACTTCGCCTTCCACTTAATCCACCAGCGCCTCGGCAGGCAGGCGCGTGCAAGGTTAACAATTGGTCACTATCTGCTTCTTGCAGGAAAGCAACAGCTAGGCTAACAACAACAACGTGACTTGAGCAAAATGGCATCAAGACAAGAGCAGAAATCGGCGGGGAGCATCCCCACAAACTGAAGCGGGGGTCGATCCGTCTTACGAGCGCCACCCTGGTCGATCTTTGGTTGGCCCTGCTTTGGGACTTTTAGGTTTGGAGGAAAATTTTGGGCTTTCCCCCGAGACGGTCCAGCGTCCAACATGCACTAACTGTGGGATATGCTATCTACAGCCCACATGAGACCTCCTGGCTTTGTCCGCAAACACTCAAAATCAAGGGCTTTCGCGCAGCAACACACAGCTCCGAGACAACGCCTGCGAGCAGCTTAGCGCGCTGAGGGACATCTCGCGGCGCGTCGCCTGCAGATTGGATGGCGTTGGGCTGCAGGGCCACTGAGCACCGGATCCCATTGCTGTGAGTGAGTCCGTGAGTGCGTGCGTGTGGGTGGGCGGGCGGGTGGCCGCATAAGTGCATGAGTGCGCGGGTGCGTAACTGAATTCGTGACTGCCAAATGGTTTAAAGGGCCACCCATTTCGGGACACTGCCATATTCAAAGGATCGATAACATGTCATTTCAGAGTCAACATGTTGAAACAAGATTAGCGTGCCTTGGATCAGAGCGGGCTTTGGGTTGCTTTAGGGTGGGTTTCTAGTTGGCTAAGGGTGGGCTTAGGGTTCATTGGGAGGTGTGTTTATAATCTGTCTAAGCTTGTTTAAGGTTGGCCGAAGGTGTGGTTGAGGGTTGGCTTAGGCTGGATTTAGGATCAAGCAGCGAAACCGCGCAAAAGCTGCGGAAAGCAGCAGCAACCGCTGGAAAGCCGGCAAAAGTCACGAAAAAACGTGCAAACCGCAAAGACTCCAGGGGAAAATCCTATTACACGAGACAAACAACCTGAAACAAGTAGAACTCCTCTAGAAAAGTGTCAGGTTTCCCTTGGACATTCAAATCAACAACCTGGAGCCAGATCACGGGTGAGGTTGCAAACACATGGTAGGTGAGATTTTGACAGAACACTAAGTATGCCTCTTCAAGCCCTCGGCAGGCAAAACCAGGCGGGCTTCCTCCCCAAAAAACACCAAACACAAGATGAACAACGCAACCAGCCAGGAAATCACTTTAAAAGTTGCGAACAACGTGGTCAATCATTTCCAAAGGAGTCTTCCTCCTGAGAGCCTCTAGGGGACGCCTCGAGAAACGCTAAGGACGCCAGCGTCCAGTACGCAATTGCCCCCTTGCCCCCTGGCCCATCCTGCGACAGCTGCGGTGACAGCGGGCACTGTCGGATAGGCGCTTCCCCCGCCCAGGTGTCAATGCGACGCTGCCGCATCTGGCGAGGCGAAGCAACGGGCGAACCGATAGCCCAAAAGAAAAAAATCGCAGCACGCTCCATGGACTCCATGAGCCGCAGCGATTGAGGCTTTTGCAGCTCTAGGTACTGCGCATGCCAACAGCCTCTTGCGCAAGCTTTCAAACTTCTCCCCAAAGTGAGCGAAACAAGTTGCGCTCGAAAATGAGGGACCCCTACGGGACCGTGGAGAACAACACAGCCATCGGCGTCGTGAAAAAAACGGGGAGGTCAACCTCCATTATTTTTAGTGTCAGCATCATTTCTGTTATAGTGCGTTTCTTAGAAGGTAAACTTTCAGCGAAATACGACATAAACCCTTCTAATCCCTCTAAACTCAAAAGAGTTGAACAGTGGGTATGGCCGAGGACGGCCAAAATGAGACATGTGAACAGGGACTCCATAAACGAAGATCAAACCCACCAGGGTGGAGATTTCGTCTGGTTTTCTTTGGTTTCCCATGCTCATTTTTCCATTTTGAAGATTCCGCACCATTTCACCCAGAAAATGGTTTTCTTTGGTTTCCCAGCAGGCAGGCAGAAGAGGCCGTATGCACACGCGCCCTCATTGTCAACACAGCCTCACCTCTGCAGCTGGTTGATTAGAGCTTCAAACACTGGAGACCATGTCTGCAGAGTTGCGCCGCAAGGCAGATGCAACTCCGCTAGTTAACAAGGGCTGGCCTGAGCAGAGAGCAATGGTGGAGTCGCTGCGTGAACAGAGACAAGTGCTTGATGGCAGCCATAGCTTGACGGCACGCCTGTCTTCCATGGGCCTCTTCTGCAAAGGCGTCCCAGCAGACGGCAACTGTGGTCTCTGGACGATGCTTCACTTGGCTTGCAAACGTGACAGTCACCTCACCGGCTGTTTTGATCATGGCCAAATGATGGGACTTCGCAGAAGGTTGTGCGTCGCATGGCAGGAACGGTCTATCAGGGCAGATCTCAGCAGGCACACCGTCGCCACAGAAAGTCAAGGTCGCCAGGCTGGTCAAGAAACGCCGCTCGGACGCCGCAGAACAAACACAGAACACACTGAGCTTCTTGTTCACCTGCGTGCACACAAAGAAGGATTTGGCAAGCACAAGGCTGCAACGGCGAAGAGCAGGGGAGCCGGGCGTGCAGGCTTGATGGCTTCATTCACTTGCTGCGCAGGCTGCTCAGAATGGCTTCGGCTGGTAGAGATGGGGGCACGGAATTTGTTGCTTTAAGGTTCCCTTTCTTTGGGCTAGACACACCCACCTGTCGCTTGATCTAACCACCCCGCGCCATGAAAATCTTTGATTCACACGCACGTGGCCGGTGGACTTGAAACTGCTTTCAGATTTTCCGGGTCGGATCTTCCCGTTCACGGTTCCTTTCATAAAAAGGATGATTCGCGGCTCTTTTCGGAATGGGGGGGCAGGTCAGGATGGAGGTCGACACTACCACTTTCTAAATTCAGGGGTTCGGCCAGCCATTTTCTAAATTCATGGGACCAGCCATTTCCAGAAACAAGCCCGAACTGTTTTTGAGCCATCCGGGGATGGATTGCGTCTGCCATGAAGATTAGCTAGAGCCTGCCAGGTCAGCAAGCAACAGCCAGAACCAGAAGGGCACGAGCGCAAGCAGGCGTGCGGTTTCCGCCATGTTGATTTGGCTGCTCGTTTCTACGCAATGCCGTTCTATGATACTCCCGGTGTGTGCGGCCCCCCTTGCGCTCCACGCGTGGCAGATGGACTTGTTGCAGGGGCGGATCTTTCTTTTCCCGGCTCCTTTCATTAAAAAAGAAGAATTTGTTTGGCTCTCTTCGGGCACGGAGGGGGGGAGGGATGAGGCCCGTTTCATGGGGTTTTTGGGAGCCCATGGAGAACAGGCAATCAGAACTTCAAGAGAAGAACTTCAAGACACGAAAGAGTAGCGTGAGCAGTTCATTATTTTTGTTTGGAGGGCTCCGTTTCGGGAACGCCGAAGATTTGCTTGGCTTACCCTTTTTGTGGTCCCCCCGCAACAGAAACGCGGCCCGGACGCCGCCTTGGGAATCTCTGGCGTGGAGCCCCCGCAAAATGTGCATCCATTTGGAAGGGAGCCAGCGAAGACAAAAGCAATTTTTCTGGTGGGCTGGGAGCTGCTTTCAGTTGCAGGGGTGGATCTTTCTGTTCACGGTTACTGGAGGTCGAGACCCCCACTTTCTAAATTCAGCAAGGACCAGAACAAGGGGACGAGCGCAAGCAGGCGTGCGGTTTCCCGCCATTGTGATGTGGCTGCTTGTGTTTGTGATGCCGTTATGTGATACTCCTGGTATATGTAGACCCCCCGTGCGCTCCAATGTAAATCAGGGAATGGGCCTGCCGTATTCTATACGTGGCATGATGTGGCATGTTGTCCTCTAGCAAGACAACAACTCAGAAGAGCAAGAGAAAAAACAATCAGGAGATTCAGAAGCAACGCGGCCGCCCGAAGAAAGCCAGCAAGTTCGCTGAGGAGGAACTGAGGATGACATGTTTGCGCAACCTCGTGGGGCCACGTATGGTGATTTCCAAAAGCAGCAACTCGGTCTATTTTAGAAAATGGGGTCAACCAATCCAGACTGATAAATTTCTAATTTTAGAAAATGGGGGGGGCCAACCTAGAACCCTTCCTGACCAGACCCATTTTCTTTTATTCACCATTTAGAAAATCGGGAGTGCCAACCCCACCATGGGAGGTGACATCCTTAGAAAAAACAAGCCCAAAATGGGCTCAACCCCCCCTTTTCTAAATTAATGTCGAACCCGGGCCGCAGCCATTCTCATTGAACCGCGTGCGCGGTATAGGTTCCCTCATTAGAGCGCAAAATGCGTCGCTTGCATTAAAACAAACCGCCCGTAGTCTGAGAAATGGGCGTAGGTCACGCTGGAGCTGCCAAGCTGCCAAATGCGCTGAAACCCAAGCATTTCGCTGCGCTTGGCACACGCAGGAGACGCCCGCAACACAACCCCAAAAAACATTTCCAAAAACATAGCCAACCAAAAACATCCCCAAACTCCTCAGACACGCAAAATACCGAACCAAAACATTATCGACCAGCATCCCTCAAAGGCAGCCTCAAACAAACTATTCACACGCCCAGAGACACTCCCGAGACCCCCTTTCGACATCCCCTCAAATTGCCTTCCAACGAAATCCCCAACGTCATCCCCAAACACATCAACAAAACAACAAAAACAGTCCCACAGACATCCCCCTACGCACTTTGCAAGCAACTCCAAAAACCGAACAGTTGCGACTTTCGAGTCAGGGCTGGGCACTTGTGCATTGTGTAGCTGCAACTTTTGAACCAGAGCTGCGAAAACGCACTTTGCGCGCTACTTTGGGATCATGATGATTATCAGCAAACTTATCATCCTCGTGATCATCGTCGCCACCACTATCATTCTAGTGATCATCATCATGACGATCATCAGAATAGGTAGGTCCTGCCGTGGTCCTTTGTCTTTTTCTTTGCGTGTCGGTGATGCTGCGTAGATTCTAGATGTCACGGTAGGCACCGTCAGCAGCATCATCATCATCATCATCATCATCATCATCATGGTGCTCATCATCATCAGCAGTATAAGTATATTCCTCGTGATCATCATCATGGCAATCATCAAACCAGTCCTATGCGTTCCAACAGCCTCGTTCTTTGCGACTGCAGGTCTTACACGTGCGTCGGCATTGCCAAGCGGCCGCGCTAAAGTCTGCTTCTTCCTTCAGTTCCCCGCACTTGTGGCATCGCTTCGTTTCCTTGCAGTTCAGACACACACGCAGCAGTGATGCTCCGTTGCTTCGCCATTTTCCGTAGAAGGCGGTGGTGGGCTGCCAGCACTTCCAAACCACGGATGACCACTTTGCTCATGCCTGCATTCAAGCGCGAGCCCGGTATTTCATTGAAAATTCCAGGGGGCGGCACAGGGTGGCAGCCCTTAAATCCGCGGCCCCCTGGGGGGCGAAGAGGCTGTGTGTAGATCCCTCCCTGCTGGGCAAAAAATAGCCCCTCCCCTTACCCCTCCCCACAGGGGTGCCCCCCTGTGCCGCCGACTTTCTTTCCCCCATATGTATCAGCCCATAGTGGGCCGGCAGGCTCAAGAAACACAATTTCCACCCCCGAGCATGGGCCCCCACTGGAAAACACTGTGCTTTTCTACGTTTTTGACGGCTGGAAAGGCGCAAAATGTGGAAACCTGCTTAACAGTGAGGCTATACTGATCCCCATCTAAGCTCGGTTTTGGGCATGGTTTTCGCTCAAGACATGAGCAAAACACGGTGTTTTTGACACTTTCGCGTGGGCGCAAGGCCTCGGAAAGCGTGAAAAACATAAGTTTTTGCGGAAACCTGCTTATTGGTGAGGCTTCACTGGAGAGCTCAAGTCTGCGCAGCCTGCGCGTTACTACTGCGCACTACCTGCCATCTTAGTAGATGTTTTTTGCCGGGCCTGCTTCCTTCCGCAAACGTGCCTCGCGCAAGTTGCCCCGTGCTTCGAACAGATTGCAGTAAACTGAGGCTGCTGGCGCGGCCGGTGGTGCGTCAGCAACGTAAATCGGCCGCGCTCCCCAAAGAGGCTGTGCGTAGATCCCTCCCACCCGCTGGGGAGGGGTTTACGCCGACTTTCTTTCCCCCATATGTATCAGCCCATAGTGGGCCGGCAGGTTCAAGAAGCACGCTCTTGGGGGTACCCCCCCCCGAGCATGGGCCCCAACTTGGGCCCAGTTTTGCGCAAACACTGGAAAACACTGTGCTTTTCTACGTTTTTGACGGCTGGAAAGGCGCAAAATGTGGAAACCTGCTTAACAGTGAGGCCATACTGATCCCCATCTAAGCTCGGTTTTTGGGCATGGTTTTCGCTCAAGACATGAGCAAAACACGGTGATTTTGACACTTTCACGTGGGCGCAAGGCCTCGGAAAGGTTGAAAAACATAAGTTTTTGCTGAATTGGTGTGAGGCTTCACTGGCCCCCGCCAAACCCGGCTTTGGAGATTGCATT